CGGCTGGAGAGTCTGATGGCATGTCATGACTCAGTACGGTCCCGAGGAAAGGCTGCAGCTCTGCTTACGTTAGAACACAACCACAATGTCTGTACAATGAGACCTGGATGCTGAGATAATCCGGAGATGCAGATGAAGGCAGTATTTGTGTGTGTGCCCTCCTTTCTCTTTAATCAGAGAGTGAGTGGAGCAGAACAGAGCGGAGGGTTGAATCAGCGGCCTTTCTGCCGGTCTGCCTGACTTAAGGCTGGCACTGCTGCCGTCTAAATAACCAGCTCCGGATGTTTCTCAGCCTATATGCAGCGGATGGATTACTGCGAGTATCTTTTCATCTCACTGTAATCTTCTGCTCTCACATTACCACCCAAGGACCACCTGAATTCAGACATATGGAGCTGGATTAAAACCACCCAGTGCAATGAGTTCTGAGTATAAAGTGACTCTCTGCCATGCTACCCGCCACACACACAACCTTATGAAGAGGGGAGAGGGAGAGTTGCCATCTGAATGCAATGATTAACTCAGCCTCCCTGATGTTTTTCTGTTTTCCTTTCTTTTGTGTTTCTCCTTTATTCGTTCTGTCTTGTTATTCTTTACTAATTAATTATTTAGTTTTTCTCTATCTTTATTTTATCATCTTTTCCTATTCCCCTCTTTTCTTCTAGATATTTATTTGTCTTTTTACTGTTCTTGACTTTAGTGCAACACAACAATGATAGTCAAAACAAATGTATTTAGTCTTTGACATGATGAAACTGGATCATTGTGTATTCAAATTAATCCATTCATTTTGAAATAATAAAAAAACATACATAGTCTTAAAATGTTAAGTACAGCCCACACTGCAAACGTTGCTTTGTTCCAGATTATGAGTTTGCATTCAAATAAATAAAAAAGATACACATGTCTAAAATTCTATAATTATGGTTTTGTTCATGTTTTATTTTAATCCCTCTCGACTGAGTTCTGAAAGTCTGCCACTGTCTAATCTCACATTTTCACCATCAAATCTGGCTCTCCTTTTCTTTTGTTCTTACAGGGCCAGAGGGAAAAAAATGGCTTTTTCTCAAAGATGTTCCTTCTGTAGTATGTTTCATTGATTCCCCAGCAGTCCAAAACTTGATTCAGACATTTTTAGGTTTAAAATGTGAAAGAGCATGCTTTGTCATTGTTGTATCAGCACTCTCAGAGCCCTCTACATCCAGAACTAAAATACTATATTTTGTATCAGCTTTATGTTGGTATGTGCTGACACCTGCTGGTCATTTCTGGAATTACTGCATTCGGGAGGGGAGATTGATTTTTTTTTAGATGATAAAAACTGGCAGGAAGTTCAGAGTTCCCCTTTTACTACACAACAGAGGCACTTATACGTTATAATGTTGGTGTATAACCAACAATCATGTAGTCTGTCCAGTTTGCTTGTGTTGCAAATGTATTATCGCAGAACTAGCTGCGTCATTGTTTACAATTATTGTTTGTTTACAATTATTGTAAACAATGTAAAGTAACAATGAATGAAGGCTTGTCTTTGCTTTGTTTGGCCAAGATATAAATGTAAGCCAGCATCTGATCCTGATATATACATATAGACCACTGACACTAAACTTGACTAAATGTATGTATTTTAAACTGATCTTTGATGTGATTATGTTCATGAATGGTCATTGATGATACTAAGTAAAGCTCTCAACCTCACAAATGTTGCTACAATATGAATTCCCTTAGAGAAACAAATCAAATTATGTAAGATTAGGTTACACAAAAATTGCTTGCTTCTGGATGTTTTTATCCCACGAAATAACAGGGAAATAACACTTAGATATATGTTTTAGCGCAAACAATAACTTCAAAAAGAATTTAAATCTGAAGGCGATGTGGGCAGTATCTAATAGTGGCCTTGAGTGGGCGCCATAAGTTTGACTACAAAAAGTATTGACCATGATTACTTTTACACAACTTAATCAGTGATCATCTCTTTACAGCAAAATCATTGTATCATCTCACGTCCAAAATTAACCTCATACTGTTTAATGCAGAAACTACCTGAATTATTAAGTCTTCTGATTGTTCAAACCAGTAAGAAATAATAATAACCAAAATGGGAAGTGTAATCTTGGTATGTTGTGAATCATTTCATCTTGTCATATAGTATTTGTCAACCATTAGACTTTTGGAATTAGATAGTAGAACATCAGAGGCCAGTTTTACAAGAAAACAACAAAAAATGTATTGCAACTTGTGAGACAAACATCGATTCTGAAACCAAGATATTAAGATACCAGAACTAGAAAACTACAGAGTCTTACTACAAAAACTCATCTGAAACACCTTAGATGTGTTCCAAGGACACTGTCTAACTGGTCAACACATTCTTCTAGTGAGTAAACAAGCAATAGTTGCAGCTATTGTGGGGCATTGCAGACTGCAGCTGTTGTATAGGCGGCTTCAGGGCCCAGGAATGTTGTGAAGCAGTACAGCAGTCAGGGACGGCCACTTTACCAGGATGCCTCAAGGGAAATTATGTGTGCTTCGAGGGGTTTAAATCTGCACAACATTTATCCGTCATGCTCCAGTTACAGTCAGGCTCAGGTGTAGCTGTTTCATTTTTGAAGCTCTCCTGCTGCAAATTCGACTCCACACTTTATGATGGACTTGTCAGAAGAGACAGGCTTTTTTGAAATGTTTTCCAAAAGATGAAACTCTTAAAATAGTTGGTTACAGATATGTGTTATGTATGTCAACTATTATGGATATATTTGTCTTAAAAGCTGCATCAGAAACATAAACCATATGGATCTGGCCAGTCTGAAATTGAGCATGCGTAAATAAATACTGTAGACTTTTTCAACATTCAACATATCTCAGATTAATGTTCTTGCTTTGTTTCAATAGTAATGAGCTCAACTGCAGACACTGTACATAAAGAAAATGAATCATCAGTCACAATCACAGAGATCCTGTCAGGTCTCCTGTCTGTATATTGATATGTCTCTCAAACCTGTAACATTTCAAAAATAAGGAAAATGTTTGTACCAGCACACAACATGAAACCTGAAGGCACTTGCTTGGGTTGTCATATTTGAATCTAAACTACAGTAACCTGCATGGGAACAAGATTTAAGTAGGGAGTATTGCTATTCCTGGTGTTTAAATTACATCATCTTCCATAATAACCAAATCAGCAACCTGCCCTTTTAATCAGAGGCTTTAAAAAAAACATGTGTGAAAGAAATGCGTCCTCTGGCGTACTGGAGGACTATGCGTAGTGTTGCCTTCAAGCACTTTCGGAATTTGTAGACCTTTATGTGTCATAAACGACCAAAATAAACGTATAGGCAAAGGCAAAGACGGTTTTTTATGGATTTACAACTATACCTATAATGTTTTTTTCTGACGTAAGGACAAATCATATCTTTGACAGCGTTTTTTCCCGAACATAATCGCTTATTAATTGGACTCAAAAGTAGTGGTACCTGTGTTATTTAAACTGTTTACACTAGGCTATTAAAGCAAAACTATCCAGCCACCCTGTGTTCACTTGGATTTACGTGGTCTCGGTTTATTGATCGTTGGACAGAAGGAAATCGATACATAATGTGAACAACTCTTTTGTGATCGCAGCGTATGAACATTTTAGGTTTTTTTAAATAAATTAAAGCACACACATTGCTGTGTCTTGGGCCTACCTCAGGTGTCTCCACGTCGTAGACCTCCACCACTGGACCTCCGATCAACACAAAGCACCAGAGAGAAGGAAATAACTTCCCCTACAACAACCTGCAGAGAGAAAAAGTTTGACACTGAAACATGAAACATATACTTGAAATCCCCTGCAGTATATAATAGTATGACATGATTCCGTTTTTATAAGTTTTTAATGGATTACCTGCATGATTACGTTTTTTGGGTTAACAGTCCCCTAAAGAGTATTTCATGTTACATTTTTAAGAAAAAGAGAATGCAACAAATGTGTACTACTGGAATCTAACCATGGATGTTGCAGTTATGTGCCAAGGAATACTTAACAAGAGATGTAAAGTAACTAAGTAAGTAGCCTACTGCACTTAAGTACAATTTTGAAATACTTGCACTTTACTTGAGTATTTCCATTGTATGCTACTTTGTACTTTTACTCCACTACATTTATTTAATACCTTTAGTTACTTTGCAGTTGATTAATAATGTGAAATGTAATCAAATAAGACTAGTTACACCTGGAGTAAATTCACAAGCTACCCAGCAGTGTACACAGTCATTACAACTAGCTGCACCTTTACCAGCTTTGATAACACTTTAATGCATCAATAATTATAATAAAAACATGTAATATATATTATTCTGAAATGAGCCAATCTGCATAATGAAGACTTCACTTTTGGTACTTTAAGTATATTTTGATGCTAATACTTTTGTACTTTTACTTGAGTAACATTTTGAATGCAGGACTTTTACTTGTAACAGAGTATTCCTACACTCTGGTACTTCTACTTTTGCTTAAGTACAAGGTCTGAGTACTCCTCCCACCTCTGTACAAAAAAATACTATGTGTTTTGTCAAAAGGATCATTAAACAGGATGGAACCACCTAATTTGTTTGTCTTATTCAATAACGTTTTTTTAGACAATGAGTGCAACATAGATCTGTCATAATATTCTTAATGTATCTACTCTTTAACTTTACATTAGACACCAAAGTGATGGGGAGAGGAAGAAAAGTCATTCAAACATATTTTGTTTTGGTGATATAATTAAGGCTAGTTTAGCCAAATCATGTATTCTTATTGAAACAATCAAAAGTTGTATGTATAGCATTTATCATGCATTATGATTCATAATTTCCCCATGTATTGTATGGATATGAAATATGTTTTATTAATGGTATATTTAGTCCTCTCTTACGCAATAGTTAGGCTACTACGAGCTCCTGGCTGAGGAAGGCGGGGATTACGAGCAGCACGTGAATGCCTCATAGGATCCCATTTTTTAGGACGGCTGATGTCATTTCAAAACTTAACTCGCAGTCCCAAGTCAACGCGGCGAGAAGCTCACCTCCTCTTCTGCCGTGAAGTCCTCTCTGAACTCTGACGGATCGCATTGAAAGGAAACTCCAGGAGGTGAAATAAATTAAAGAAGACACAAACTTCTCTACTGGAGACGAAGCGGGAGGATTTTAAAGCAGAACACCCCGGGACCAGAGCCCCTCTTTCTGCGGGCAAAGGCGGCTGAACTTTTAAAAAAAGAAAAAAACTGCAACCATAAAAAATGAATCGGAGCTTTAATAAGTCGCAACCTCTGCGGAATGCGGAGTGTAACGCAGTAGAAGTGAAAAGCAAGGTGAGTGTTTGAGGTTATAGGCTCTAATGAGAATATGTGGAGAAAATTAAGAGTTCACATGGTCGTCCCGCAACGGAGATTGGTTTAAATCGGACAAACTTTGTGCAACTAACACAGATTTTCTCATTTTCACTGACAAATCTCTTTTCCAGCTCATGAACGAGCACCAGTTTCTGGATGTTTCTGTAATTTGCACTGATTATTGTCTCCTTACTTCCGAGCATGCAGATTGTGCTGATTTGGCTCCTTCCCTCTCTGTCACGTAGCTGATGGGAAAAACTGGTTTGACATTGTTTCTTTCTCTTTAACAACAGCATTTGTTACAATGAGAAGGTGTTATCTGTTGAATCGGATGTTTTTGCAACATTAGTCGCTTTCACTGCGGGTTTTTGCCCTGCATACTTTCAGCCTCATTGTTTTGAGTAGTTTGGGAGAGGCTGACAGTGTAATAGCTGCATAAATTAAGCTAACCAACAAGTAAATGACCACAGCTATCTTACAATTTAGGTTTATGTAATATAGACCACCAATTACTATAAAATATGAGCACAGATCAACTTAATTTGGACCATTTCCTTAGTCAAACACTAAAACTACAACAGTCCTTGGGTTTATAGTTGATAAATAGTTTGCATTCTGTCTAAAAACTGTATTTTATAATTGGTTACAGAATTGACCGCTTTATATAGAGCAATTGGGCATAGTTAAAACCATCCCAAATAAACAAAAGTCACTAATCCTGACCACAAAGTGAACAAACAGTGAACACTTTTTAATTATGCCTCTCAAGGACTTCTTGTAACCAACATTTCTCTGTAAATTCCATTACGTGATGACAATCTACAGTGGCATTCATAAGATGTGTTTACACATACCAGCACACATACGAGTATCAGCACATGTATGAAGGATGAGCTCCTGAGTCACAGTTGACATGCCAGATTAAGAGACTCATTCAGTCCAGAGGTCTTTTCACTTTTGGCTTCCCAGTTTCAGAAGTGACCTGGGTAAAGACACTGATGGTGGCTGAGGAGAAAGGAAGGCAGGTCTATTCCAGGATGCTCAGATAACATCATCGAGGAGCTTTGTTTTTATTTTGAGGCAGGGTGGTTTGTGTTTGTTCCACAGAGAGGAGTGGTCACTTGTTTATAGGTGGGTCTGACAGGCCAGAAGTTGCTTGTCTAGAAATGGGCAGGTTTCACAGCGTCATCACAGCTGACTCACTATCATACAACGTCACGTTTCCCTTTTTGGATCAGATATCCCTCTTATCATGTCATTTTGTTCTCTGGTTTTGTAATGAGCAAATCTGGAACATTTGAGTAAGTCGCCTGACTAAACCAGAAAGACAGTTCAGAGCATTTGCATACTAAAGTAGCTCCACTACTTTTCAGTCTGTTATTGTGTAAAAGCGACCATAAGGAATATACAGAACTCACGCATCTGATGTATTCAGAGAGATTCATCTAAACTAAAGCAATAACGACAGATCCACTTGCATTGTTCAAAATGAATTCACCTTCCATGGGCAGTTTAGAAAATGTCTGATGAAGAACAAGCAGACATTTTCAGATTACATTTCTAGTTCAATCAACAGGTAATCTTACTTTCACTTATTATAATGCAGAATAATCTATACCCCTTTTATCAGGCGCTCAGTTCAAAGCAGATTGAAACTGTCAATATTATCATTATATAAACATTTTCCAGCTTCATATAGGAACTGGTTATTGTGCTGAGTCACAGAGATCAGGACTTGAGCTCTAGATCTCTTAAAAAGTAAGCCAAGGAAGAAATCTACAGAAACTATGACTTTACATTTAACTAGGAAACTTTAGAGCTGAAGAGCAAGTTAAGTGTTTTAGGGCACAGCTCTCTCCATATAGCCTTACTTGAAATTTTAGAAAAACTTATTTTGCAAATGGTAATCAATGTATTCCTCTTAAACTGTGAAAAACATACCAGCAACTCATGAGTCAAAAGAAAAGCAAGCACTGCACGCTTGTTTTTCTTTTGCTCTGTGTGGCGCTCAGAATTTAAATCAATCCTGCTTTGTATTATGAGCTGAACCTCTAATTCCATAGTAAATAAAATAATATACATTTCATATGTTCTGCTTTCCTAGTAAAAAAGAGTCCTAAAAACAACATTCAAGTTTCAGTGTTCACATCGACTAGATTACCAAGGAGTGACATTGGTGTGTGTTTGTTGTCTGTTCAGTTGAGTGTGGTGCAGGTTATGTCCCGGTTCTCACTGGTTAGTGTTTGGTTTTCCCAGGGGAAACTGTCCCATTGATAAGCTGATCAGGATAACACTGGAGGTGTCTGGCTGCCTGTCATGGAGCCTCGGCCAGGAGCTGGTTTCCCTCACTTAGCTCTTATCAGAGTCTGAGATATTGGGAAGGGATGTTGGGGGTTGGGTGGGATACCCCCCTCTGCCCTTACTTTGATTCACCCAGATTTTCAAGTTCTTTTTATTCTTCCAAAACATCATTAGCATATTGAAGTGTGAGGCTTGATCCACTCCAGGCTAAACAGCAGCTGATGTTTAATTGCCATAACCCGTATGTGCTTTCTCAGGTGACTCGTCGCTCTCTTGCGTAAGGTAATGGGTAAAGAAGGAAAGACAGAAGTCAGTTATGTTCCACTTCTACAGTGTGTCAGAGTTTAGCATTTTTTAGGCGTGTTTCAACCTGTTGACATCACTTCCCCCTGATAGGCCGGGAAGACAGGTGATGTCACGTTTGTAGTGATGTATTCTTAGGTTTGGGGTTTGTGCCGAGGGCCTGTGGTTAATCATCCGTGTTCAGACTTGTTCATACCACAGGGCCGAGTTATGTGGAAACGGATTGTTCAGACTTATCACGATGCGAAGGGAACATTCAGATTCAGATTCAGAGCAACGACGGAGCTTACTGATATACAGAACTTTCATTATTATGAAGTCAAGTGTGACATGTTGAAGCCTGGCCGTGTTTGTTACTGTTCAGTCGTGAATGAGTTTTACTTTCCTAAATGTTAAGCACATAAACCTCCTGAAGAAGGATAAACCTGTTTGTCAACTTGTTGTGTCATCTTACAAAGAAGGTTGTTTTTATAAACTGGAATCCAAGTTACGCTTTCAAAGTGCAGCTTCATATGTTTTCCTTTTTAGAGCTGCAAGGATTCATAGATAAGATGTCAACTATTAAAATGCCAACATGATAATCGAATAATTAGTATGGGTAACTAAAGAACAATAAATAAGGCTTCTAGCATCTTAAATGTGAATATTTTTTTGTCTTTTTTTTACCCCTCTCTGACAACAAACTGAGTATATGCACACATCAAGACATTCCAAGACGTCATCATAAGCTTTAAAAACACTGATAGACATTTCCCACTATTCTCTGACATTTTACCCACCAAACATCTCATCCAGAAAATCATCAACAGATTAATTGACTATATTAATAATTGGTGGTTGCAGCCTCAGTGCCTTCTTTGCCATCAGTGAATCTGGCAGCACACCACACACCCGCCTGGCATCCCCCTAGTCACCTTACACGCCTCCTCTTAAATTCATATGTCATCTTCTAATTACAGAGCGGGTTAATGTATCCCCCACTCTTCTTCACCTCCCAGTCAGTACACTGCCACTTCTGCTTCAGCGTCAGCACTTTTTCTCCCTCCCTCCTGCTGCGACATGATCATCATCCCTGTTTTTTCCCCTCGCTGTCAGCTTCCCTCCGCTGTGATCTGATGATTACAGTTACAAACGGCACCTTCGTCTACAAATTACCGCTGTGATCCAGACACCAGTGCTGCTGCAGTTGTGTGTTGTTGTGGTTTTATGGGGCTTTTTGTGCCTCTGTTGTATCGCTGCTCCTCAAGTCCATTCTTGTCTGAGTCACATGATGACCCCACTGTGACCCTCAGCCGCGCTCTCATTGGTGATTCGTTGACGGGAAAGCTGTAGCACAATAGTTCCAAGTCTGCGCTCCTGTGGGAGGCGAGGCAGCCAGCCAGTGTCATTCATAGCAAGACAGCTTACTCATCCACCTGTATTGTTCTGTTGTGCAGCAACCCTCTTCCCTTTTCCTGCTGTTTACATGCAGTGTGCGCAATTGACATTTTGTTTTTGCAATGATGTGATCCCTAGGCAGAGTAACAACACAGAGTCAAGGAAAAGTTCCCATTTTGAGAATGATTGATTAAGATTGACATGAACCCACAGGTAGCAGACAGGCTGGAAACAGTAAACTTTATTTAAAGGTAACTTAAACACCTCTAACGCACACCAACTGTCAGCAGTTTTTTACCTTTTTTATTTAAAGGATGGGTGTTATACATGTAACAAAAAGGAACTACAACATGTCAGTCAGTGAGCTTCAGTGGATTTTGTCACTTTCTAACAGAGCCACGCTAGCTGTTTCCTTTGTTTTCATTTGTTTTGCTAATTTAGGCTAACCGGCTGCTGGCTGTAGCTTCCCAATCACAGAAATTAGAGGGTGATCGACCTCCCCTCATAACTTTGAACAAAAAGGCAAACTATTCCTGTAAATATATGGCATTTGCTTTGTAAAAAAATCCCTTTCTCTATTTCATAAAATCATTTTCTTACTGTGTTATTGTAGGCGTTTTAGACAACTTAGCCCATCTCGGCTTCAAATAAGAAAGAACGTAACGCACATGAATAATGTTGGGAACTGGAAGTAGTCTTGAAAGAAGAAAATAAGTGGATATCTCTCCATATGAATATCTTGTATTTAGAAAGTCATCAAGCCTTCATGTTGTCGAGGCCTGAGGTGCGAAACATCTGAATAAAATAAATGTATAGCAGAGTGTGCTAAATGTTTTCACCTCCGCTATAAAACCATTTATTTCTTAAAAGAGTCAGTCATTTTAAATTATTCTAAAATGTGATTTGCTGTGCCATAAATACTTTTGGCATGCTTTGTGTGAGTGTAATATGTAATTGTATCACTTTGGTTCTGTTGAAACCAGTTTTTCAAAGTTTTGCAGCAAATTCATTTTGTATTGTGCTTAAAAACAGTTTCCCTCTGTCATATATTGTCCATAAGGTCATGACTGCAGCTGAGCTCTGCGTACTTCCACCCTGTTCATTTATGTGTGCCAGTCAGATGTTTTAGATAAGTACATGAGCCAGGAAATCCCGGCTTCCTCTTCCTGTTTGGTGACGGTCCTGTCTAATGTCCTCTCTCTTTTGATCTTCCTTTCAGTATGGGGCAGAATTTCGCCGGTTTTCGGTGGACCGGATCAAGCCTGGCAAGTTCGAAGAGTTTTACAAGCTCATCCTGCACATTCACCGCATCGCCAATATGGAGGTGATGATCGGCTATGCTGACATCCACGGTGATTTGCTGCCCATCAACAACGACGACAACTTCTGCAAGGCGGTGTCAACGGCTCATCCACTGCTCAGGATCTTCATACAGAGACAAGGTAGGTTTTCTTTGAGGCAGCTTGGTTTCTTTGTGGCTCTTTTTATATAATCAGTTACACAGAAATCGTTTATAGAGACATTAAAAGGCTAGACTTTTTCTCCAACATTGTGTCTTGTAACTGGTTTGTTTAAATACACATTTCATGTATTCGTTTTGAATTATCCTTGAACTGGTAAACCTATAAAACAATAATCTATTGCAATGGGCCGCAATTATTGTGCTGACTCGAATCAAATTTCCCCACAGAATATTTCCTCCTCCAATTATGCCTCTCCTCCCACTTTGGGAACTCAAGGCCTTTTTGTTTACTTCATGCAAGGCTTTCTGTGTGTGTTTTGAGTTTCCTGCCCTCTTATTGGCTGGATCTTTCTCAGTCTGTATCTGTCTGCCTGGCTAAGTCCTCTGTCTTATCCAGAGGAAGGGCTTGCAGGCAGATGAACACACGCACGCACACACACACACACACACACGCATACACAGGCCGGTGCCTTGGCAGCCCCATAGAAATCAGGTCATTGAGCAAAGCCTGTATCCCAGCATACCAGACATTACTGAGAGACAAAAGATCTGCATGAAAAGAGAGACTCCTTACTGAGCTCCCTCCGTGTGTGTGTGTGTGTGTCTGTGTGTGTGTACATGTGAGTGTGTATTTGTTAAAAGACAACACCACGGTACCCTGAATGGGAACCAGTCCTCCTCTCTCTCTCATTGATCCCAAGTCTGGAGTGGGCCTTGACTGCCTGCCAGCCATCCAGCGAGCATACAAATGAATCTATCACCATTCACATCTATTCATACCTCAATCCTTCCTGGAATGTCCCTCCCTCCGTTGTGTAATGAACATGTACACTCCAGGGTATTGTTTTAATTGTCGTCCCGTGATTCAAATACAAAAGCTAGCCACCGCGCAGATTTCCAACAACTAATAGGGTTCGGGTCTTTTGAGAGGCCCCACCAGACTCCTCTATTGTGTGATTCACTATCTTTAAAACTCATACTGTATGGCTGCAGCTGAATTAAGTCATTGTACAGTAGAGATTTCAAATGTAAAAATTAGAGTTTGATTGTGAATTGTCTAACTTTTTATAATCTCAACTGATTCATAAATGTAATGTTTGCAAACTATACATTTTTGCATGATTTTATAATATTATGTCGTCATTTTAAATTATGTCTTGAGACCCTAAGTGTCTTTGTGGTTCATACGAAGAGATGCAAGCATTCTGACACTTGTTTGCTATGGGATTTCAACCAATTGCATTTTAAACGGCGGTGTCTCTTCCCATGAGATTATTGTGTACCGAGCAGTCTTTACATTTGTCAAATTTGTTTTATGTCACAGCTTTCCCTTTCTGTTATTCTCTGAAGTACCTGATCCAGAAATGCCATAAAGCATATTGGAGCTGACCCTTGTTGAAGGACGAAGCTCTTACGCTGTAGTTTTGTTGTGTTGTTGTGGTGTAAACATGACCTGGTGATGTGGTGCAGGGGAATGTGCACTGTTGTGACTGATGCTGCTGCAGTGGTCTGAGCATCTTAAGCCTCACTGCAGTCTATTGTTAGTCGCCAGACAAAGAGGCGTGTGTTTTACTGTGAGTACCTCATGTCTCAGAAGAGCTGCCCTGCACCCAGTATGTTACATGCACGAGAAAGTGTGTGTGAGATAGTGACTGTATCAGTCAGTACCAGCCTGTTAGCACAGGTCAGTGGTGTCACCGTGCATCTCCTCCGTCCCGGTCAGCAGACCACCCCAGATGAAAGAAAACTATGACTCACACTTAGTCAAAGAAGGGACATTTCGTGTAGTAACTTAAACTGGACTGGTCTTTCACATGCATATGAGTGTGAGAGGGAAAAAAACATTTAATTAGGCTGCTCCCAGACAGCTAAGCCACAAAGTTTATATGTGTCTCTTTATGTCCTTTTTGAAAGACAAAAAAATTATTTTATTTTCCTTTGAAAAGTTGTTACAATGTGTAAAACATACTTTGTGTGGAAAAACAAACTGATTTTAAAAACAAGTTCATGGGTACACTGTACAATAAAGAATTGAAATGGCATTCATAGAAGTAAAAAATGAAACACAATGAGAGCAAAGGGGGGTAATACAGTGAAGGGAAATATAAGAGAGGTGGGGGCCCCAAAAAGGAAGTGTAGGAGAAAGTTAAAAGGAAGAGAGTAAATGCAAATAGAAACTAATCACTTTTAAACTTTGTATTTAACTTCTTAAGTTAGACCGTCCTCTTTATGCTGTCAACAGACACGTTTCAGTGACTGGCCGTGCATGTACATTTGTCCATGTAACAATAGCTTTCAACGTGTGTGTGGGTCCCTTTTTATCTACCTGACACCCTCCTTCTGGGCTTAGATGGCCATTGTTGCTGGGATCACTTGAGCATGTGCAGCAGTCGTGTGGCGACACAGCAACAATCCTGCTGATAATACCTGTTAGTCCCCGAGGGCAGTGATGGACGCTTGTTTAAAAATGAGTTCACTTACAGAACAGAAGCTAACACTTGCACATAATAGCCTTTGAGTGTAGATATAGTTGGAGGGCAGATTACCGCATTCAAACCAGGAAGTTCACTGATATTTAAAACATAGTCAATGACAATGTTGTAGTTTCAAGTTTTTGGTTATTGTTAAAGGAAAACCTAAGGATTGTTACTGCAACAATGCCTCTGAATGTTTTTGAGTAACTTGTCGTTGTTCTTAAAAAATCCAATGTAGGTCCTTGTTTCTCAATTACCCATAGAGTATTTTTTCCATTTGTCAAAGAGCGATACCCTCTTAAGAGATGATCCTTTTTAAAGGAATACTATAGTATTTGCACCTACATTGTAACAAGTATTGTATTTTCATCAAGGCAAAACTATTGGTATGTATATTGAGCTGTTTTCAATTTGGATATATCTCACCTTGTACTTTATTAAAACCCAAATTGATAAATTGTTGGAAAACAGATGTATCCTTACATTTGGTTGTGCCCACTTTAGAAAGGAGCCGTTCTTAAAAATTGTTAATCTAATAAGTAAAAAGGCAGTCTGCATGTTATGTAATGATGACATATAAAAGTAGATTAGATTATTACCAGTAGCATAGTAAAAGATCAAATCGATTCTATTGTTGCATTGTTTTACCTTAACTGCTTTTATTTCAAGCTCGACAGAAGGTTATCTGGGGAGCCAGCAATTTAAAAACCTGCAGTGAAAAATACTAGTTTGTAGACAGATGGGGGAGGGGAGTCACTTCACAGAGGGAAGTTTTGTACTGGGACACTTCTACATTTTTCATGCAGGCACAATCAGTATGGGGGGGGGGAGGGGACGAGCAACTGATGGGAAGAAATGGGACGCATCAAAAGATGTGTGAGCCAGAGTTCCCGTTAGCCGGTAATTACCGGACAATGACCGGTAAAATATGCTGAAGTCCGGCAAATCTAAATCTCTCCGGTCAAAATGTCCGGTCAAAATAATTTTCCCTTAGCGCAATACCGCATCAGTTGCGCCACTTATGTGACAGACAAGAATAGTATGTGACAGACAAAAGAGTATGTGACAGACAAAAATTGTCAATTCTAATGTCTAACACTTAATGTGGAGAAAGAGATGTCCTGTATGGGTTGATTGTGCGTTGATCTGTTGGTAATGCCTCGGGGTTCCGGTGGGCATGTAAACAAATGCATAATGCTGCGCTATACTTTGTGGCCTCATCCGGTTGCATAGCGACGCTTATTGTTTAGGTGTCTTTTAACAAGCAGGTAGTCATATCATTAGCTAGAACTAGCTAGATCTGATCGATATGGACATAAATGCGAGTAAAGTCTAATCTGACAGGAGAGAGAGATCGGCTGCTGCTGACGAGTCGACACGCAGCTCTGCATGATCCCCTGCAGCGGCGAGCAGAGCAAAACACACTTCAGGTTAGAAAATCACACGTAGCTATTTTAATTACCTCTCAAACTACCTAAACTAGTTATAGATATGTTTAGTTTTACTGTCGGGTCACTCATTACTGGATCCGCGAGCTGCATGATACTGACGGGCTGTCAGGAGAAGGAGAGAGCGCTCCGTTTATTATTCCCGCGTTTTTGTAAATTACTGTACACTTTTGAATAATGTAGTTAATCTACTATAATTAGTTTGTTTAATGTCGAATCATATCAATTTGTTTTAAAGCTCAATAAATAACAAAGAAGACCTTTAACCGGCACTTATCTAATTTTGTCCGGAAGATTTCAACTTTAACGGACATGTTGACCGGCAAAAAAATATTCTAACGGGAACTCTGGTGTGAGCAAAGACGAGTGAAGGAGCGAGCTGTGGAGGTGGACTCCGTGTCCAGTGTGATTGCAGTGGCTCAGTCATGTGTGCCCAACTGATGATGGATGTTAGATCGGGGTCACATTCACATGGACAGTTATGCAGTTGAAAGAGAGTTTATACTTTTAGATTTCTGGTTCCAAGAGATTGGTTCTTCTGACACATTGTCATCAGAGTCAAGTTGAATTTACTCTGCTTGGTAGTCTGATATTTTGTCACGGGTTTATGGTATCTTTATCTGGGGATAGTGGAAGTACTAACTGTTCATTCATATTCTGCGTCCTGTGCAAAGTGATGCAAATTAGGGTGTAGATAAGAGAGAGGGAACACTGCCTGCTTATTTATACTAGGCAAAGATAGCATGGTACAGGAAACCGACCCCAGAGCTCATGACTTTCCACATTTTACCAACATCTTTTACTGTTTACAGATTAAAAACAGGACGTTTATGATCCTTAACACTAAAAAAACATTAGACAGATTATGTTTTATCTATTCCCACAAATCTAGTGTTGAAGTAGAGTATGACCTGTGAATGTAGGTTGTAAATGTACTTGATGCTTTTGTAGCTGGCAGCCTTTGACATAGCTTCTATTTTTCCACGCAGTAATTGTAGTGATAGTCCTTGGAGAGCAGGTAGGGTTTAAATAAGGATATGTGCATTCAGGTCAATTTG